GGAGGGAAAACACTACGATAATAATCATTTTTTAACAATTGCCACAGCAAAAACAATACCAAAATCACGATCTTCAGCTCGACTACCACTGTACGATCATAGCTTTGGACCAGCATTAACTGGTTAGCATGGCAAATTTAAGACACTTGATCAGCAGCTAAACTCGTTTTTTATATCCGCAAAATAAACTTTTTTTGATTGAAAATCGCAAAGAATCTTCAGAAAACAAAAATTTTTCTTTATTTCTTTATTTACTTTAGGCCACTTTCTTTACCTGCACAGTGAAACTCAAGCCAAAGATGACGGGTATATTGGTGATAGAGTAACAGTGTTTGAGTCAGAATTTTTTAATGCTTTTGCAACCAAGAAATATGCAGAAGATAATAGGCTTTGTACGGTAATAATCAGTTTTTCTGACCTTTTTAGCACAATTTTTTTTAAATTTTATTTGTTAAAGTTTGCTCTTTTGCTGATAGAATTCACACAGCAATTGTTATTTATTCTATGCTATTGATAAATCGCTTTGAAACACTCAGTTGCAGAAGATTTAACAGTTGCACTTGTTCTTTATCATTTATCAGGGGGTTATAATCGATCTCTTTTGCTCCTTTAGATTCGATTTTTCTATTGTTATGTATCAACTGGAATTAGCACAAATCTTGATCTCATGGTACACCCAAAAGATGACTGGAAAATTTATCGAATTTGGGCTGTACCAACTCATTTCCCTTCATCATCATCAAAAACAAATTGTGAATGGACCCGAGTGTCTGTTGAAATTCCTCCCCAAGTCTGTAAATGTTAACAACTTTTTTAAAAAATAAATTGTCCTAAATTAACCAAAAAATTATTGCTGCCACATTTTGATTCTGACTGTTTAAGGAAAAACCATACAAGATTCAATTTGTTGCCGATGACCTACATGAGACAACACTGAAACTGGCAATTGATGACATTTCAATGTCAAGAAACTGTTTTAGACATGGTAAAGTTCAGCTACAGTACTAAACGTAATTGTCTTTAACAATGTAAAGTGTTCAAATATTACAAATATGATAAGAAACAATAAGTTTAAATTTAAAACTTATGTTTTGTTACATTTTAGTTTTGCCAAAAGAGGAGAAAGTACCGAAGAAAATCAAGAAAAATTTGACAGAAACAGTTCATGAAGTACTGTCCAATAAAACCAACGCTAAAAGAAGTAGGTTATGTTATAATTGCTAAAAACCAAACTTTGTAGACCTTGATTTCGTTTTTTTTAGCCTATCTAGCAGCTGGAATGACTATTTACCAACAGAATCAAGTTGCTGGTGTACTTGTGATTAGTAAAGGCAATTTGCTGATTACAGCAACATTTATCTCTTTCCTTTGTGCAGTCTTCTTGTTCTCGCTCTGTGGTTGTTTTTGTAGGTGTTTATACCGCCTTACACTAAACTTTCAATAAGTTAATCAAAGAATAACGACAGGTTTAAACACTTTTCAAACGATCATTTTTATTCTGTTTGAATACTTAAAATTTCATAAGCTACAAAAATTTTGTGGTGAAAAAAACTTTTTTGTTGGATAAACGATCATTTTTTAAAGCAACTTTCTATTAGGCGTATGGCAGAAAACCTCAAAATGGCAAAAAAAAACCCTTTTGCAGGTTTGCACTTATATCGTTACCTCAAAAGAAGAACAAAACAAGTCGAACTGGAAAAAAACGAAATGGGTCTTGAAACAATAAAGTCAGTTCAGCCGGTCAACATTTCGCGAAATCCGATTTATGAGTCACTTGGCTTAACTTCAGACCTGCGCAGTATACCTCGTGAAAATATTACTTTTAAAGAGTATGCTACTTATTTCTAAAACTGCTCTCAAAAATTTGTGTAATAAACACCTCCTAAGGCGCTGTTTAGAACCAAAAACTGGATGTCTCTAGTAAACCACATTTAGTCATTTTAGGGCCGTGTAGTAGACACACTGGTTTATACAGTAGGCCTAAAGCCAAACCAACAAAATCAAAAAAAAATTTCTAGTTTTTTCTTATCTGATAATCACTCTAAATTTTGTACCTTTTTCTACACATCTCTAAAAACTTATAAACAATTTAACCACCATCTAACGTTTGCGTTAATTCTTAAGAAAGAAATAACCGATCCATTGCAGTGCATTGGGCCAAGGAGCTTTCGGTGAAGTTTTTGAAGGCTGTTTGGTTATTAATGACCGAAAAATTGCTGTAGCAATTAAAAGTCTTCCAACAACAAACTCGAAAGATGCAGTTGACGATTTTGAGATGGAGGCCTTAATTATGAGGTAGATAACTTGACCTTCTTACTGATTAGACTTTTTTGCATAACAATTGGACATTCACGGTAAGCAAAAAACAGAAATTTTTTTACTGGGGAAGAAGACTGTGGTAATTTGTGTCTTATTGCACAATTACCAAACAACCTCAATCTACAGCCATCATTTCATTTGCAGCAAATTTCAACATGAGAATATATGTAGCTTAAAAGGTGTTTGCTTCGAACGTTCGCCGCATCTAATTGTATTGGAGTTGTTGGCTGGTGGTGATTTAAAGAGTTTCCTTCGCGATTTTCGACTTAGTAAGGTAGCTAATCAGATGCTGCTGTTCAACAGCTATTTGACCTTAGTATCCTGGTAAGTATAAATTTAAAACAGTGACTTCTCAATTACAGAATCGAGAAGAGTTGCGTATGATAGATTTGCTAAAAATGGCAACTGATGTGGCAAAAGGTTGCAAATACTTGGCGGATAATCGTTTCATTCACCGAGATATTGCTGCTCGAAATTGTTTGCTAACCAAGCGTGGCAAAGGAAGAGTTGTAAAAATTGCAGACTTTGGAATGGCTCGTGATATTTACAGGTAACTTACAGAAATAATCCAATGCAGTAAATTTTCTTTCTTTCCAATGTACTTTCTAGTTTTTGGTGACCAGTTTCGGTTCATTTTTTACATGTACTAACTAAAACTTATTACTTTTCACTTTTTATTATCTAGCTTTTCCAGTCCTTAGTTTTCTTTCGTTTGCCAACTTAATTTACATTGTTTTGTTTTTTGAACAAAAAATTTTTTTCATTCATTACCAAACATCATCAAAATTCATAGATTCAACTAGCATAGTAAGCGGACATATTTAGGCGAGAGTACTATAGAAAAGGAGGGAAATCAATGCTTCCTATCAAGTGGATGCCACCAGAAGCATTTTTGGAAGGAGTTTTTACGTCAAAGACAGACGTGTGGTCGTATGGAGTTCTATTATGGGAACTATTCTCACTCGGTTATGTACCATATCCAGGAAGAAATAACCATGAGGTGTTTTTCTGTATCTTTAAAAATTATCATACACTGTAGAACTCATTCCAAAGCGATATTTACTGCCTGGTTATTACTGAATATCAAACAGTGAAAATAATATGGTAGAAGAAAAAAGACAGACAACTATCTGCTATATCTTAAAGACAGCATTATCTCGCTTTCTATACTTTACATCTCTAGTGAACTTGTAACATCAGATATTTCTGCTCACTACCACCCTGTAAAAAAAATTTGTTTTAGGTGATGACTTTAGTTGTTGAAGGCAGTCGACTGGGTCCACCAAAAGGCGCTCCAGGCGATATCTACAAAATCATGATTGACTGCTGGAGGACAGTTGATAAAGAAAGACCAGATTTTGATGTCATTCTTTATAGATTAGAAGCCCTTATGAAGGTAATAAAACTTTTAGCGGCTGAAAATGCTAGAATGAGTATAAGACGTTATTTAGAATTCTGGCGTAATCTCAAAGCTCGTCACAGCTCAAATGCTCACCGTAGAGAACGACGGCTTGAAGCTGAATGATGAAGATGGCATTGAAAAAAACATGATCGTTACGAAAATGAAACCTCAAGCAACTGCTGTAACACCGGTGCTTTTGAGTGAGACAGAAAATGAATTAACCTCTAAAGTTTCAAGTACGGTTGTACTTCGTACAGGGAAATTCTTCTTTCGTTATAAATAAGCGATAAGCCTCTGTTATTTTTAACTTTATAGTGAAACTGTGGTAAAGATTTCTGACTTCACTCTCATCAGTTCACTTCAGATTATGGCGTCAATTCAAACGTTTGCGAGCCATTTGTGAATCCACTGTTCACCTTTCCAAATGGCAGCTGTCAAAATTAAATCTGCGTGTCTTACCTTTATGGCGTGGTAATGACATTTATTATTTTTGAGAACACTTATTTGCTAAATTAGAACCTTACTGTATTTAAATATATTATTATTATGTTATATTTGTTGAATTATATAAAAGGTCACCTTTTAGCACACATACTTTCGTACCAAAGTGCCACTTTTGAATAGTTCAATGCTATCATTGGAAGTTGAAAGACAACGAAAAACTGATAGAACAAAAACCTGTTTAGCCAAGAAGTCAGGGACCATTACATTTAGAACACTGGTTTTTTGCCTCGTTTCCGTTCGCTTTACCTACCAACGATTACAGTTGTTGCTGAATACAACAGTAACAAAACTACAACAATTTTTTATAAAACAGCCACAGATTTATAAGAAATATTTAAATTTAGTATTTAATGATCTGTATATATGTAAGTACTGCTATTTGTCCACTTTGCTCAACTTTAATATAAAACATATTTGTATTTTTTAAAGGAATCTATGCTTTATCAGATTCCTTGCCTCTGTACAATGGTCTCATTTTTTATGCGTTATTAAGTGTTCCCAATTCTCTACGTTTTATTTCTAGATACGTCTAAATTGAAAGCCCCTCATGTGGTGAAAAGTGTTACTAATTGTGCAAAATCGTAGCAGTGATGATTCTGAAAAGATATTTTTTTATCTTTGATTATGTAGTAATTTTTTTTCACCACGTGCATTACAGGAAATCTAGAAGGCTTAAAAATTCAGCAAGAAAAAAGATTGTATTTGTGAAAATTTTAGAATCCTTTCCTAAAATTCTCAATATTTTGTTTATGAAAACTTGTAAACTGTTCAGGACATTCAATAACACCTAGCTTTTTAAGTTATTATTACTACTGAACATTTGCATAACTCAATTTTTTCTTACTTTTAAAGACCTATGATGTTTAAAAAGTTATTTGTTTATGCGGAATATTTATTGTGCTATTCACTTAGTTTTCGTTTTTAAAAATACAATCTTATTTTTGGAGATATACAATATTATTAAAACTCGTTATATCAGAACGGTTTTGCTTTATGATTCAAAGTGAAGGCCCCGTTCTGAAGATATGTTCCTAATTATACAGCATGCTAAACGTTCTGGAAAAAATTATTTTTGGTTTTCCAGTAAAAAGAAGAGGAAGATATACGTGGAGAAATATAACTGCTGCACTTGCTAAAAAAATTTATCTTTTTGTGCTGGTTACTAGTTGAGAAAAAGCATCAAAGCGTGATATGCAACGGTTGTAGAAGCAAAGAGAATGAGAAGAATAAGTATTAAACTGAGTACTGTAAATAGTTTAAGTAACACTTCCTTCATTAAGGGTTTCAGTGTAACACCTCAACCACCACCCAGTGCCGGAAAAAACCTCGCACTAAACAGACGACGCACTGTCTTCGTAAAGGGGTGTAGGTGAAATACAAATTTTTCTTTTCTTATTGCATCTTCGATGCTGACAATGGCTAGTTTCTGAATCCTCACTGTTCTATTGCCACCAGATTTTGCCAGACGGGTCATGTGCATTCATTAGTTGAAAATACTTCATTTATTACCTCAGCTTTAAGTAACTAAACCATGCGATAAAGAAGAGTAAAATAGCAAAATTAGCAATCTAGATAACATTATAATTATCAATCTAGACAACAACACTAAAAAACTATGAGCAATTTGTAAAACTTAGTAATTTTTTGAGTAGAAACAGTTTATTCGTTACCTCAAACTTCAGCAGTGTTAAACTGCAGTAAAGACACGTAATATGCAACAAGTTACAATTACATAACAATGATATAAAAAGTTACGGTTGGTTCACAAGTAGAACTAATACTACAGAAATAAAAATGTGTGATAGACCAACAAAAAACATTTCGTTTTTTCATTTCTGCTGCTCGTGTAGAATTATTTTTCGTTGAATGTCGATGTCCTTTTCCCACCCTCTCGTGCCCTTCGTAACCTTCTCAACGAGCTGTGAATTTTTTGATCTTGAACATTCATGCTGCTGGCAAAATCTTTTTGCATTTCCTCTTAATCATCCGGCTTCAGATTAGTTACAGATGCCGCTGGGGAGCTGCGTTAAAAAGTTTTTTTCCAAAGAATTTAAAAACTGATCGTTTATTCTTTGCTTTCTAACGATATTTCTCCAAAGCAGCTTGGTCAGAAGGTGTCTTCTGGTCCCCCATATAAAGCTTCGTGCAACTGAGAGGTACCGGTTGGGCTCTTTTTTTTTTTTTTAGCGATTGCGTCATCTCTCCTACGGGCTATATGGCAAATCGGAGTACTTCCCTACATATACTAAAGAGCTGCCGAAACAGGCCAAACATGCCCGCATTAGTTTTACCTGTGTACGCATGGTGTCCAAAAGAAGCACCATTGTGTCTGGCAGATGCGAGTACTGGTACGGGTTGAGAAGGATATAACGAGATCCCGGAGAATTCTGAGTACGCCTGGATACTCTTTCGGTATGAGCTGATCCGGGTTTGAGTCGACCTAAATAAAGGCAGGTTTTGCAGCCTTTGGATAATGACACTCGGGAACAAGTGCCAGAGCCAGCCCAAATCTCCTTTTCTAGTCTACATAAGCGTGAATTCTTTTGTCTCGGTTAACTGGGGTCTCTGTTTACGTAGTAAAAATATTTCTGCAGGTGACCTTTATTTCCAGACAAGCACTTAATAAAGCTTAAAATGGTTTGCAAAGTAGATTTCCTCCGTCTTTTACAAAACAAGGTAACATAACGATCAAGCAATCATATGCAAATGACCAAAAGCTTGACATCTACCAAAAAACAAAAAATAAAAAAAACGAGAGCAGTTATTAGTCAGGTTAGTAAATCAAAAAATCGTCAAGAAAAACAGCAGACGTCAACCATCCAGCCAGACTCCGTTAGCTACCCTCCGAGAAAAAATCTGTCTGTAGTCAACGAAAACACCCCTGTATTGTTTCTTTTGAGTCGAAAAATTCCCGCGTTAGACGAACTTCTCCAAGCCGAATAATTTGGGGACGAATAATTTGCTCGCTATGCAAATGGATGGCACCGCGAGGTTTTCCGATAGCAGTCGCCGGTCTGTGAATAACAAATAAAGCCTTATCTCCAATGTTTGCTGTGTATGCTTTTTCTTTTCTCTTTGTTATGCTTCAGTTGTGCCCAATTCGCTGTTCTTTAAAATCGCCATTTCTACGTTTTGACTGTTTAAGTTCCAATGCGAGAGGGCTTTGTTCTCACAGAATGCCGTTTAAATTGGAGATTAATGATTATAATGATAATAGAAAAGTTTTAGTTGAAAGGTTAGAAAAGACTTGTGGAATTTATAGCAAGAAGAGATGGTGAATTAATAAGGAATAAATATGTGTAGTTTAAAAGTGAATATTAGAAAGTTTTCAAATATTTGCTGTACAGGCATGCAGTAAAAACTGTTGTTTTTGCCGTCCGCTTCTCCTGTTCGTGTTATTACCATCCACCACAGCCCATATGTTTTGGTGTACCTATAGACAAAATAAATATGTAAACAAAAAACGCATCCTTGACCTGTATGTCGTTTTTTATCGAAGGTAAACGATGTAGTCCAACAAATCAGTGTTTGTTTTTTTTTTTTACCTCGGTTCAGGGATACAACTTTTTTCTTTTGATTTTTGTTAAGTTCTTCAAGATTTTTTTGTCTATCTGATGGAACCCATTTTTTTTCATCCTGCCGAAATATTATATATATGCTCATTTATTTATTCATTTATATATATCAAAGTTTCTCAGGCAAACGAAAGACTCGTTAGATGGGATTGTTATATCATATGGTAGAAATTGTTACGTATGAGTTTGTTATCGGGAATTGTTCGTAAGAATCGGACATTATCAGTTGTTTACATGTGCAAAAATAGTACGAGATAATCGTCGAAGTACTTAGTTTATTTAACACTGAAAAATATTTCTTCTTTTTTTAGGTCGTTTCAAAATTTATTTGATAATTGCCTGGGCATTGTAAACTTCTTGTCATTTTGTTACTATTCGGTCGGTTGATTGCATTCTTTCTTAGCCTGTTAAGGTCAATACTTTGTTTGTGTGGTCTTTGGTTGTTGGTAGTATGTGTAGTACTTTTGTAAATTTTTTAATACCACTTGATTATTTAGTTATCTGTTTCATATTTCTAGAGATCTTTTTTTTTCAAGTGGTCTTTATCATTTGGTTTGGTTTGTCTTGTTTTACTTTTTTTTTTTGCGTATTCAGCGTAACTGTGTATAGGTCGGACATCGTTATGCGCATCATCGCTACGCTGTTGCACCAAATGCTGTCACTATTACTAACAGCTGCTGATTGTCGGTTTTCCTGTTGTACCAATTGTCCGTCTGCTGTTGTCAAGCAGCAAAATAGTGTAAGAATTGTTGCGTTTTAATAGTGGTCCTCTTCTAAGTCTTTTTTTGATGAAAATTTTTAGAAAACATTGCTGGTTTTGCCGTTTGAATTAACCGCTAGGCAATCATATTTGGCAGGACTTAAATGATGCATTGTTTATGGCAACATTCAAGAGGAAGTCTATTTTCTTGGGACATTTTTTTGCTTACAAGATTGTTTTTGTGTATTTTGAAAGTTG